GATAACCAATTTTTTGCCTGATAACCGATTTATTATAGTCATCATTAATTATAAAAAATCACGGGATACCGGATAATAATTAAGCATTTAAATTATTATTAATTTAAAAAGAATCATCATGTCATGTTAAAACAGAATTTTGATGCTTATATAATTGTCTATTTCTTATTTCATTTTTAATATATATAAGTATTTCTTTCATTTAGCAAAATTTAATTGATTACGAATTTGGTCATTAGTCTGAAAATTTATTTGCTACCATTACAATTTCGCTATTTTTCCCTCAAAAGTTCAAAATATTGTATATAAAATAACTTTTAGCGGGTAAATTACACATTGATAAGGCATTTTAAAATTGCAAGGTATATACAGTAATACTGATCTCCGCAGTACGTGACCGCAACCAAATTAAATTTTTCGAAAATGCCCAATTAATAATTTTGTTAAGATAATTTTGTAAGAAAAAAATGAATCAAAGCTATTTGCAAAGATTTCTGTAATTTTTTTTATTTAGATTTTAAGCCGCGGGAATTCCTCATTACAGCATAACCTATAAAAAGAAGATGGCCGGAAAACACCGAAATTGACCGATTATCTTATGTATGATCTACATACAGTATAATCTTCTTAAATAGCTCCACAATCACCAATGCATGCATGTGATGTACATAGCCACATATGTATCACATCACTGAGCGAAATTCCAGAAAAAATCTTTCTCCTTAATTTTTCTTAAACCAGAGAGAGAATTTGCCTTATATAATAAAAACATTTAATATAAGCATGACAAAAACAGAAGCAAAGCATGACGAATTCCTATACATATCAGAAATGATTAATTCAACGGATAATATGAACACTTTAGTTGATAAATTATTCATAATATTGGTTAAAATACAAAATGAAAGTAAAGATTTCAGTGAATCGAAACATTTTCTTAATAAATGCATTACTCTTTCTACTCGATCAACTGAAGAAATTTTTAACTGGCTTAAAGAAAATCAAAATGAATCAAAAAATGTTTTCTTACTTGGAATTTTGTCTTATTACAATATGCTTAACTTAGATGAAAATAATACTGAAGGATTTATATACTTCCAGAAAACAGCTAATTTTTATTCTATTGCACAAGTATATTTAAGTAGATGTTATACTAAAGGATTTGGAGTTGAAATCAATAATGATTTAGCATTTTATTGGTATCAAAAAGCTGCAGAAAATGAAGTTACTGAAGCGATGTTTAATTTAGCAATATGTTATAAAAACGGTGAAGGAACAGATATTAATTTAGAAAAGGCATTTTATTGGTATCAAAAAGCTGCAGAAAATAAATATACTAAGGCAATGTATAATTTAGCTTTATGTTATGAAAATGGTGAAGGAACAGATATTAATTTAGAAAAAGCATTTTATTGGTATCAAAAAGCTGCAGAAAATAAATATACTAATGCAATGTATAATTTAGCTTTATGTTATGAAAATGGTGAAGGAACAGATATTAATTTAGAAAAAGCATTTTATTGGTGTCAAAAAGCTGCAGAAAATAAATATACTAAGGCAATGAATAATTTAGCAATATATTATAAAAATGGTAAAGGAACAGATATCAGTTTAGAAAAGGCATTTTATTGGTATCAAAAAGCTGCAGAAAATAATTATATTAAAGCAATGTTTAATTTAGCCTTCTGTTATGAAAATGGTGAAGGAACAGATATAAATTTAGAAATGGCATTTTATTGGTTTCAAAAAATTCTAGAAAATAAAAATATATTAAAAGATCCTTATGAAAAAAATAAAATTGATAAAATTTCATTAATAAAAGGGTTTATAATTGAATCAGAAAATGAAGCTTATAATACATGTAAGAATTGTTTTAAAAAAAGAAGATCTTTAAAAAAGGATAGTATAATTTGTATTATTTGTTTTCAATCTGAATTATTATTTAAACCAAGTGGAAATATAGTTATTGATGAATTTATTAAAAATACACAAATTAATTTTATTCAAGATTCTAGTAGAATGAAATTTATTCCTTATAATCAATTTCAAAATATAGAAATTATTGGTGAAGGAGGATTTGGTAAAGTTTATAAAGCAATTTGGAATATAGGTCCACCTTATTGGAATGAAGAAAAAGAAAATTTTGAATATGATGATTTTAATATGACAGTTTCATTAAAACAACTTAAAAATTCTAAAGATATTACTTATAAGGAATTAAATGAGGTAATTTTAATATGAATAAATTTAGTATTATAATATTTATTGTTATTATACATTAAAATAAATTCTTTATAAATCTAGCTTTTTATAATTTATGCTATTGATTTAAATAAAGGATATTTCAATTCTTTATTTTATTTAAATAGATATTACGGAATTACTCAAAATCCATATACAAAAGATTTTGTTATAATTATGAAATATTACAAGTATGATTTAAAACGCTATATTGTAGAAAACTTTTACAATCTTGAATGGTATAAAAAATTAGGCATGCTAAAGCAAATTGTAAGCGGACTTACACATATTCATTATCAAAATATTATTCATCGAGATTTTCATAGTGGAAATATTCTTTGTGAAAATGAATATGATATTATAATAAGTGATTTGGGAATTAGTAAATCAGCTGAATCATCAGATGATGTTGAGTGTTATGGGAATTTGCCTTATATTTCTCCAGAGATTTTTCAAGGACAAAACTATAATAAATATACTAAAGCTTCAGATATATATAGTCTTGGTATGATTATGTGGGAATTAATGACTGGTAGAACACCTTTTTGGGATCCTGTCTATGATACAGATGCAGAACTTATGATTCGAATTATTGATGGTGATCGTCCTCCAATTGTTACAAATGCACCTGTTGGTTATATTGAATTAATACAACAATGTTGGGATTCGGATCCAAATAAAAGACCAACAGCTTTTAATACTTGTCATATTATTGATGAAATCATTTTGAAAGAATTAAAGTCGCCAACAAAATTGATAATATCACCAGATATTGGACCTATCATAAAAAATGATTTAGACAGTACTATATATAAAAGTGGGGCAATTATCTCTTTAAATTCTAAAGAACATTCGAAGAGTCAAATAATTATCGGTAAATAATATATAATAAATCGTTATCATATTAAGTAATTGAATTATGAAGAATTTATTAATTTATTTTTATTACTTAGATGAAAGTACCGACTTGGATTCTAATAATGGTAAGTAATGATATTAAGTAAACAACAATTTTGAAATTAACGACAAACTAATTAATTATTTAATGTGATAGGTTATATTTCTAAATCCATTGATTTTGATATTTAATAATAAGAACTTATTATCTATCGATTAAATCATGTTTTAACTTATATACAAGTACATTTTAGATATAAGTTCCACGATTTAAAGAAAAGTTTGAAAAGCTAGTACATTCGAAAGAAAGAAACTTAGCTTCAAGAAAAAATCAAGTTCCAAGAATCAATTATTATTTATGAATAATATTAATATAAGGATAACAATTCAGGTGGCTTTATAAGATGTTTAAAAATGATAAATTTTCTTACCATCTATACAAATTCCTTATAAGATATTCAGTGAACAAAACAATAACTCCTTAACTACGAAATGATCTAATGATTCCTTACCTAATTGCTAATTTAAATATTTTAAATTTTTTATATTTTTATATATATTTATACCTATTTGATGTAATAAACATTCAAATTTATTTTTAAAAAAATTTCGCGTGCGCATAAGTTATTAGAAAATTAAATATTACATAAAAATCAGAAATTTACAATTCATTATTGTAACTTCGTTTACTCAATTTTTCGTAATTGCGTAGTTTAAATTAAGTAGAGTTTTATTGATTGATATTTATTAAGTTTAATATATTGACATTGCGGAATTGTAGAGCGCCGAATTTGAAGCAACACTGATTAATTTAAATAAATTTAACGTCGACATTACTTCATTTTTACTCAAGATTTACTCAATTAATACCTTCTGTTTACATTACAAATTTTTTATAAATACAAAACGAAAGAACTATAATGTTGAAGAAATATTTTGGTATCTTTTTATTGAAGTTTTTGTAATTAGAGTATCTCAATTTGTACTGTAATAATCGCTTGTATAGCAAGATGATGAATGAATGTGAATGATATGTTCAGGTTCTACGATAAGAATATAAAATCTTGGCATTGATTTTTTAAAAAAATTGCATGAAGCATTAACTGGTGCAGGTATATGGAAATACTTTAACCAATTTTTGAATTTTTGTATCAAATAATCAGCACTAGATCGTTTGTTTGGATCAAACTCCAACAACTTTTCATTACCTCTACATAATCAGAATTGTTATTTTTAGACTTAGACATTGACAAATCTCTATAGATAGTTGAAAATCATGAGCAATATTATTATTAAAAGCGGGAACGCCTGATGTGAATTCCACATGAAGAATATATGTCTGGTATATGGCTAGCCAAGCAAAACCTCTAAAGAAGTACTCCAAAAATCGCATCAGGATTATTCGAGTGATCAGGTGATCTGCTCAATACTAATCTTGCAAAGTAGGTAGCCGCACTTAAAGCTAAGCCACAAATTTATTACTAATTATATTTTGCGGCTAAATATGCGTCTATTAATCGTACTAATGTTGTTGTTACACGTCTCTTTTTTTTATGACATTATATACAATATATAAAGGATGGTAGAAAATCTTCTAAACAGAACTTTCTCTCTTAAACCAAGGGAATATATTTAAAATTTTTTACGAGACCAATGACACGGAAAAAAAAAGAGGTTTCGTCAGTTGAACCGTTAAGAAGGAATGTCCATATGACGGTAAACCAATTACTATGATCGAAATGTCGCCAAAACGGCAAATATATTGTTAAATAGTGAAAAAGACGATACTGTTGTCGGGTGGAATGTTGACAATGAAGAAGGCAATGAAGAAGGCAGTCTTGTGCCAATCAAAACCGATGAAAACGATTCACACATAATACACATTGAACACAAAGAGAGAAAATCGTTCAAATGTGTGTTTCCGATAAAAAGATACTAGCGTATAATAATGTTGAATATGGTTCACGTGTTTTGACTTCTAATCTGAAATCACGAATTTGATATCCTATAATTTTTATAGTTGTGATTAATTGATCAATTAATGTATTGTTTATTAGAAATCATTGATATGAAAAATCAGGATCGAAAATAGAGACAATTTTATTGCAGCATTAACGCTAGGGAACAATTTATTTTGTTCGGCGTTGATGGTGATGTACAAGAACATAATATTATCTGGGTCTATTCAACGCGAGGAAAAATTATGGATGTGTCAAAAGGTTTATACGGTACCCCTAATAAACGTATCAAAATTTGGCTACGATCAGAGGATCATATACATAAATAAAATATTCAGAATAAGGTAACGATGGTCATTTCAAGAATCTCACGCGGGGTAATTGGTAATTTTTTTTTAAAGAAAAAAAAAAAGAAAAAATGTAAGTAACTAATTATTATTTCTTCAATTAAATAATAATATATTAAAACGAAAGATATTAGAATTTCTGATTATGAAAATATACCTGTCTTAAAATTAAGAACAATATCATTGTTTATTCAAGTTTGATGGGGATTCCTATCCTATTTCGTCGCTGGACTTAAATGATGGTAAACGAGTATATTTATTACACGTATGCTATAATTATAATTATATTAACGTTTCTGGTAATATTTTTTTCAGAATTACGACTGTATAAGTTTATGAAAAATACTCCTGAATTACATTGTTTGCTGCTGACTTTAACGGATCAAAATTCAAACAATAAAATTTTGGATTGTATCACAAGTACTGTCAGAATATTTGCTTAGATCAATTTAAGAAACATAAACGACCATCCACGGAAAAAGAGGCTGAAGATTTACAAAACCTTCCTAGCTTATTTTACGATTACCAATAAAAAAACTATATGATTTTAGTTGTGGGAGGATATGTTTGGAAGATTCAATTTGACAAGATTGATATCGATTTTCGTTGGAGATAAAAGCTGATGATTATGATGACATTTGGTCGTGATGGTGGTCGTGATGGTAGTCGTGATAAATATGAAAATCCATTTGTTCTAGATACGAACATTGACAAAGATGCACTGTTTCTACAAGAACATATGAAGATATTATATTGGATATTTTCATTATTAATGAAATTATTGGATTGCGCGTTTTTAATGTTAAAAATGATGAGCAAATTTGCGAGTTATTCAAAAAAACTAATATGAAATATAAGTAGTGATAGAAGAAGTCAAGATATTTAAAACGAAGAAATTGTCATATCAACAACATTGGCGTTTTTATTTTCCATTTAAATGAATAGAACGAATTAATTTTGGATTATTTTCAATACATACACCATCAAATGAGGCAACCCGTTAACCTTAAATAGTTGAGTAATTTTATGTCCGTTACCAATCATTATCTTGAAGTAGATAGAAAACTTCCGATTTATGGATGTGTTGCTTACGTAAAGAATGATCGAGAAAAAATTTTAAAACATGGGACGGCATTATTGATGTTTGCTATTGAAATTCATGATTAAAATTAATTAATGTCTCCAAATATTTCGTTTGAATTCATATTTTCAAAATCTTGTATGGTTTGAGGTGAAACATCATTTCCATTCAAATTTATGTATTCATCAGTCTTGCCAACAATACATTTACTTTTGGTCGTAACCAATTGTCAAAGTGGACCTTGCCATCATCATTCGTAATCTTTCAACAACATTACACATATACGGTCGATTTTCCGGTTCGCCATCTTAATGTAAAAATTGAAGTAATTTATTAGAATTCGAAATTAAAAATCAAGTTGATAATGTGCATTCATATTTACCGATATAAAGTTTAGAGTAATCATCAGGAGTATCAGGAACAGTCGCTTCCCTAAGACCTTGTAAAATATCGAGCTAAACTAATATCGTGAGTTCTACCTTCAGCACAAAATGGTGGATATCCAGTTGATATCTCCCATAACAATATCCCAACACTATAAACGTCACTCTTTTCATTTAATAGATATGATTGTTGTCCTTTGAATCTTTGGATCATGGCAAATAATTTTGATTGAGAATCGGACGCCTCTTCAATCCTCTTTGACAATTCAAAGTCCGCTAGTTTGATGTTGTTCTGATGAATCAATATTTTATTGGAATTCTAACATCAAAATACATCAAATAATCAAAAAAAAGTTAATTATAAATTATTTCATTCATATGTTATAATTACATAATACATAAATAGTCAACCAGATCACGATGCACGATTCCCTCATCATGCACACATAAGACGGCACTAGTCAATTGACAAGACAAGTTCAATTTATGATCCCAAGTAAGATCTTAGAATATTTTCTTTAAATGGTGTGCCATCATCAGCATATTCCATTACTAATTGATACATTTTAAGTTGTGTATTTTGATTTCCTAATAAAAAATAAAACAAATATTATTTCATTAACTTGTCATTTTATAAACAATAAAATAATAACAAATCATGCCTGATTCAAGTTTCGTTATACCAAGGAAACGAATTAAATTGTTGTGAAAATCGACATCACGTTGAAGTTCGATCTTTAAAAAAATCACAAATTTCAGACAAAATTTCAACACAATATTACAAAGATAATACATATCATGAGCATCTATACATAAATATTACCTCAAGAACAATTTCTTTCGCGGTAGTATCATTGAAATCAAAAAAATGATTTCAATGCCAAGTATTGTTGTAAATTTTTCCAATTCGCACGATAAACTTTTCCGAACCCCCCCCCCCCCCCCCGGTACCTAATCACTTAAATATTTCTAAAACGATCATATTCATAGTATTTAATATGCTTTTTAGTTATAGATTCTTCAATCCATTCATTTTACATTTGTAGGCCGTATCTAAAAAAAAAAAAAATAAATAAAAAAATAAAAAAATAATTTGAAGAGAGAGAAATTTTTATTCAATTTACTCTGTGGGATATATGTATTTGAAATTAATCACTTTTGTCAAGTTAATTGTCGATCGTGCATTTGGTGTAACATCTTAAATCAAAATTATCATTGCGAACTAATTTTACGGTGAAACGATTTGACCTCGCATTAATATTGTTAAATCGCAATTCACGCGTATGAATAAATGTAGACAAGCATTATTATGATCACGCAATACTAACATGCAAATCAGAAATTGTGATTTCGATCATGCAATAGAAGCATGACTTTTAAATCCCAATTTGTACAATAAGCAATAGGAAACATAATAAACGGAAAAGGGAGGGAAGAAAATTATTATTTAGAGAATTATTGTTTGAAGATGTTATTTTGTGTCGGAATAAACGTAATAAAATTATTGCGAAGCTTGTCAATCCTTTATCAATTTAATATGTAGAGATTCTAGTTATCGACGTTAGTTTTTTACATTCAAATTTATATTTAAAATTAACGATGTAAGATAAAATTATTCCTTCAATGGATTTACCCTCATATTTAAAGGCAACTTTAAATTTATTTACAATATCATTATATTAATTAGACAAAATTTCAACCGCCTACTCGGAGATTATGTGTTTGTATTGTGTTGATTTGTTACGAATAATACCGTATGCCGAGTTACTAATGAAAAATCATTTAAAAATAAAATTTGTATATATGATTTATTTATAAATTAGCAAATATTAATATGAAATACAACTTTTACATGCTTGCGCTTAGCCAGAAATAGTACAAACTATAACCGTTTCTCCTAAACACCGCGTAGAGGTGGCAAGCTCGTTCAGGTTAAAGAAAACTTGAACCATCACATATCAAATGTGATAGTTCATTTGAGGTGAAAAGAGAATGTGAAGACGAATATAATGTGGGTATAAATTTGAACAAATAAAATTAAATAAAAAGTTCACCTCTAGACATCATCGAAATACATATAAATATTTTTTATATATATATAGTAAAAGATAATAATAAATTCTAACTAAAAAATGAATACGGATGAAGTGACCAAAAGAGGGAATATTTTAATCGCAAAAAGGAAAGACAAACAGCCAACTTCATATAATATATATGATACCATTGTATCGTAGTCATGCTTATCTAAAGATAAACACCCTAGTGAAAATTTATTAAAGGGGGGAATTTTTTTTTGATTTTTTTTTTTTATATATATTTTTTTTTTGATTTTTTTATATTTTATTTTTTATTTTAAATTCTTAATTAATGTGCCGGCCAAGACAACGAAAAGAAGAAGAGGTAGCCAGTTTAAAAACGGAGGGGAAAGGGGTAAAAACCATAATCAATGGCTACGTAGATACCAGGAGGATCAAGATCCATTGGTTCAGGCCACTGATTAGGGGGGATAAAAGGGGTTTCAATAAAAATGCCTGGTGGATCAAGATCCATCGGCTCTGGCCACCTAAGAAGACGATAATGAATAAAGGGACGGCTAAAAACGGGAAGGGTAAAGGAAGGAGTAGAAGAGTTAGTAGAAGAAGTAGAAACGGAGGAAGCAGTAGGGGATGAATAAGGGGATAAACTTAAAGAAGAGGGGGAAGGAGGGGAAGGGGGAGAACGATAGGAAGTGGTATTAGGGAGGGTAAAAAGAGAAATAGAACGAACAGGAAGGTTATTAGGGGGAACAGAAGAAGGTGCAAGAATAGGGGAAGGAAATGGGGAAGGAGAAAAGTTTGGGCCAGTAGAAGAAATGGAAGATGAATTAGAAGTAAGGGAAGTAGGGGAACTAACGGGGAATGTAGGAGAGTGAGAATAAAAACTTAAAGAAGGAGAAGAAGAGGACGAAGAAGTAGAAGAAGAAGTGGAAGAAATAACTGAAGAAAGAGAAGAAGAAGCAGCTGTATTAGAAGGGGAAAAGGAAGGAGGTACAGCTGTTAAAGGGGCTGAAGAAGAGGGAACTGAAGGGGGGACGGAAGAAAGGGAAGTTGTAGAAATAGGACGTCGCCTTGGCGCGACAACAGCACGAGTGACTCCTTGAACGCGAACCTGTCGTGTTTTTCGAGTCATCGTTTAAAAGATTCCTTGAAATAATAAAATTTAAGTTATTTTATGCTTTATTTCTTTTTTATTAAAATAAAAAAAATTACGAAAAACAATACCAACCAAAAAGTAAAGAAAAGTTGGAATAAAGCTAAAATGAAGTTGCGAGATAATATATAATTTATCATTGTAAAGCAAATTTATTTCCTTTTTATTACAAAATGCCCGTATGATCAATAAATTTATATTTGACGCTAATCACAAGATTGAAACTGCAATTAAAATGGTAATTTAAATTTAGAATTAATAAAGGTGAAATTTTTTAAAAAATAACTTTTGAAGATATAAATTAAATAACGTTTATTCATAATATTTCAATAAAAAAAAACTTTCACTAAACAAATTATGAACAGATTTGGAACAGTCTTCTAAAATTAAATCCTGTTTTATTTTATTTTTTTAAATACAAATAAATTTGTCCTTGTCGGATTTTAAATTTTGTCAAATGCGGGTCCTAAAATACCTATCTTAAATAGCATGTCGCAATAATTCACAAAATGTAATAAAAATTAAAATTTGTTAAAAAAAATTCCCAGAACCTGATTTTCCTAATAATAAAAAAAAATTGATTCGGTATATCAATGATTGAATAATTTGAATGATCTGGTGCTTTTAGTACTTATTTCTACTTGTTACAAGTCTATCCAACATTTTATCATTCCATCATATATTATAATTTATATACATATGTTTTCAACTTTATGCTAACTCAGCCTTTTGACTGGATAGTTTTCGAACATTGGCATAATAAAGTAAGTCTGCCGCGCCAATGTTTTCCTTGTTCGGGATGACAAGTATATTCTGATCAGCTTTATAGTTAGAAAGGTCTTCAACGTTTCGAATCAATTAGTTTACCGCATAAATAAAGACTTGAGTTTCTGTTGTCTTACAAACTCCTTGATTTAATACCAAGGTAACTTTATTAATAAGAACATTTTTGGATGATCAAAGTCCACTAAACATAATATTAAAATTTAATAATTTATTTAGAAATTAATTATTTTTATTTTGATCCTTAAATAATATTAATCAAGCGAGATTCAGAAAAAGAAAAAAAATTTTCTTCCATACTTTATAAACGAAATAAGTCGAAAAATATTTTATATTTATGATAACTGATAATTATTTTCTATGATTTGTTTTTTTTAGAGAGAACACAGTTATTAGTCGAATGAAAATATTGGTACAGCGAGGAGGAGAATATTTAAGCCGTACTCTCATGTAAACTTTTATGTTAATATTTTCTAACAAGCGTTCTGCTAATGTGAATATATATATCATAATCAATTGCTCAAGGACATGATTTATCGCGGAAGGATCTAATCACTAGAAATGATTCCGGAGTTAATAAATAATATAGAATAAACAGGGCCTTTAATGGAAGAAATGAAGTTAACACCGCCATACGAAAGAAACGTGTGAAGAGAGATAATGAGGATTAATTTTATATTTTACTCCGGAGCTGGATATTTCTCTTATGTTAACATTCCGACCAAGTGAATGTATATTACTTACGAATTCTAAATTGTTTGACATCAATTTATGCTAATTTTTCGTACTCCACGAGGCATGCTAGTCAATATTTGATGATGATGAAAACATTCACAGATGAATAAATTATACAATTTGATAATTTGATAGCATAGGAGATTAGGCTTAATGATAGAAATATAGAAAATTAGCAGTAAGTTACCAAATAAATTTTGGTAATAATATCCGACTACTATTGTTGAACCGAAAATTTCTCATTTAAAACATTTAAACATTCGTGACGAAGTGGACATCATTTCCGAATCTATCATGTTTTGTAAATTTATGTAATATGAGAAAAGAAGAAAAGTAGTAGAATTTTATTTGCTAATAAAAAAAATTTTTTCACCCAATCCATTCGGTTTAAGTATTTAACTTTGTAGAACGTCCTATAAAATTAAAGGTCAACTGATCAAAGTCAAGAACTTACGGTGTGATTATTAATTCATAGTGATGAATATTTGTGTCGGTTACTCAAAAAAAGTAGAATTTATTCTGAATTTAAAGCTCTAAATGCTGATGGTATTAGTATAACACCATATTCGATGGTCGTATGAAAATATGCTGCTAGACCGTTTACCTTTTTGCGATCCTGCCACTTTTGATATAAGTCTTCCAGAGTATGCCGGTTTTTCAACACAACTAAACAACTTTAAGGAAGAACTTCATAGATTCCTCGATAGAAAATGAACTAAACATCAAATATTTTAACTGGCTAATTGCTAAAATTATTGATTACAAAATTTGTTGATGAGTAATATTAACATAATAAAAAAAAATAATAAATGATTCGGCAGAAACCAAATTATTTAATTTCACATAATATTATATCCGGAAAATACACTTTCTTATCGTTCTGTAAATTTATCAAAAAAAATATTTTTTTTTTTTTGCAAATAAATTTGATGAGTTTAATATATCTTTCTAAAGGACTAAGTGCTTGCGCTTATACAGTTATATATCTGTTTCTCCTGGACACCGCGTAGAGGTGGCAAGCTTCGCTCAGGTTAAAATAATTTATTTACGCTATGGAGACCTATTTGAGGTGAAATAAACGAAAGTGCATACGATTATAATCAGGTTATAAAAACAATATAGGAAATTTCACAAGGCATCATCAAATTACATAAATACGAATTCTACATTAAAAAAATTTCTAAACTACAAAATTCGAATGAAATGGCCATAGGGGATTATTTTAAATGCAAAAGAGAAAAACCAAAGTAGCCGACTTCATATAATATGTACGATACACTGCTATAACGTAGTCATGTTTATCAAAATATCAAGGGGATTTTTTTTTATTTGTTTAAAAAGGTAATTTTAATGAATATACCGTGACAACAAAGAAATGTTCAGCTAAAAACGAAAAGGGTAGGAATAAAAACTATAGTCAATAGTAACATATATGCCAGGAGGATCAAAAACCACAGGCTCTGTCCACCTAGAAAAAGGACGGATACGCGAGCTAAAAGAGGAACTGAAGCTACACTGTAGTAATAACGGGACGGGAGGGGGATGGGTAGACACAGAAACGCGTGGAGGGGAAGAGGGAATAGAAAAAGGTACAGCTAACGAAGTGGGGCAAGGATCCAAGTAAAAGGGCAAATGTAAAAGGAAAGCGTAATGGCACACGTCTACGTACTTGTCGCATTAGTTGTGACATATTTTTTAATAATTTCCTAAAATACAATTAAATAAATATTTTGAGCTTTTCCTTCCAATTAATTTACACAATATGATCATTTTTGGTAATTTTGGCGCTGTTACACAATTATTACACCTTATAATCTGTAAAATTTTAAAATAATAAAAATTGAACGAATGACGTGTGACCATTTAGACGATGTTTCAGTTATGAGACCGAATGTTATCATGACTGGTAGACGTGATTGATGAAATTGCGAATTGGAATGATGTAGAAAGGATAGATGATTTTTGTATATGAAACTATTATTACCCAACGGAAACGTATTATTCCTGTTCAAAATCAAACACTATTCGCAGAATCCTTCTAAATTATTTATAATGAGGTAAATGTATAGTTAATTTAAAATATATTCGTGACAATTATTGACACATTTTTTTTATCTATTAGCTAAAGGTTCAACAACAGTTGTAGATTTTTTGATTGTATGGCGTTTTGGTTCCGAACACAAGAAAATATTGTACCATAATTCAATATACAATAGATGGCAGTTTAAAAGAATATTTTGAAAAGAGATTATTATAAAACTTCATGGTAAGTAAAAATAATATCATGGATTATATGATCATTGATTTGCTATAATTCAGTAAATTAGGAATGGTACATGTATTGATAAATGGAAATTACTTTTCTTTATTTGCTTTATGTGATAGCGTTATTAGTATGATTTATAATTAGGTGAAATACATTTGGGATTTGCTCCACAAGTTTAGGTGGAATTTCTCATACTCGATCCTCAGATATTTATAATTAAGATATAATAATGTTTGAACTTGGAACGGTTTACCATTAAAAATACGACGATTTACCTTTAATAATTCTACAAGAGGTGCCACTCGAATATTCTAATTCTCAATAAATCTTACCGGCTTATTATCAAATGATGAAAAGCTGTTTTGACCAGCTTCCAGATATTATAAAGCAATTTGATATTTGGGAACATAATCATTTGGAAAATATAATGTTATAAATATAAATATTGAATGAAGATTTTATTTGGCAGTAATAGCCTTATAGATATGCTTGAATATACTTGCTGATGACGGGTCAATATTTATTTATTCTGTAGATTATTATCAACGAGGGGATTTAATAGTATATAAAATATAATAACTTTATGAGGTTATTAGACGCAACAATGATAATTTTCAAATGGCTTTATATTTAATAAAAACTTTGTATTATCTTTATACTATCCTGCAACCAACTTATTTTATATGATCACCATCAAGATGAATTAAAATAACATAAGTACCTGAAAATAATAATAACTTAGATACAGTATATAATTAGATTATTAAACGGATGGAAGCTATATCAGATGGCAGCAAATTTTGAATAAAAATTTTCTTGACGAATTCACATCAATTAATACAATTAGTACGCGAATTCTTATTTACTTAGTCTGACATAAGAAAAATCAATATTTTAAGATTCCAATTCATCTTTATTTTGTTGATTAAGTATTGACTCGTGCTTAATCAAAGGGTTGACTTGAATCTCGTGATTCCTAGCTGAATGGTAACAATCAATTTTTTTCTTGAAAATAATAAACTAAATTTTAATTCTCTGTTTGGAAGCTTGATGGTTATAAATGCGTTACGAAATTTGAATGTTAGTATGGTATTTTAATGCAGCAAACTATGATAAATAGATATCAGCAATCACTAATGTTTTATTTTTTTCCTCTCGGAATATACAGTAATCAGTGTTAAAAATTCCCGAGTGATATTTTTTTGAAACAGAATATTAACTTGTTATCACTCGAGACATGAACATAAATAAACTGTGATTTTAAAAAATAAGGTGATATAAATTTTAAATAAAATATTTCAAAAAAAAAAATAAATTCTTTACGTTTCGGTAACAATAAAGTGAGAATGTCTATAACAAAATGTGTTTTTTTAGTAATTCATAGATTTATTAGATAACGTGTAATTACATTTACTAGATAATATCGATTAAATAACATTGATTTAAACCTAGTTTTGTTTATTTTTTTATTTTTTGAAAATTGACAATTTGCCTCATTATCAGGAAAAATGGCTAAAAGTTGGCTCTAGTTCCCGATTAAGTTTACTCACTATATATCGAGAGTCGATTTTTAATAGACAACATACGTTGATTTGTGAGTTGGCTTAAATATTTGCAAAGCTTATAGCAATCATGTGAAAGCTCATCAAATAATCTCTTTGTAATATAGTTTGATGTCAGACTGTATCGAAGATAATTAATGATATATGAATAAGACTTAAAAACCTATTAAAAACATGTTCATAAGCAACAACCATATGATATAATCATTCATAATCGATAAAAATCGAAACAAAATTAATTTGTCAAGAACTCATTTGAAAAATAAAAAAAATAAAATAAAATACTAAATAATTCTAAATTATGCTAACATTTGGGTAAAGGAAGATTTATAATAATGTAGATTTAAAAGATTTAAAAGAACATTTTATAAAAAAAGTTGTACTATAATAATAAACTATTAAGAAATTTGATTCTGATTATTAAATATCAAAATCATTTGCTTTGGAATTATAATCTATATATAAAAAAAAATAATTAATGAGACTGTATATTGATAGGAAAAAGTTATATCCGTTTACTTACTAATATTGATATTATTGATATTTTCATCTAATAAAATGTAATTACCTTGACTTTTTAGTATACTTGTAGATTTTAAAGATATATTGCACCACTCGTATGAATAACGCTGTCTAAATCATTTTCAATGATAGGTCCAATATCCGGTGATATTATCAATTTTGTTGGCGACTTTACTTCATTCAAAATGATTTTATCAATAAGATTATAAATATCGAAAGATGTTGGTCTTTTATTCGGATTAGAATCCCAACATTGTTCCATTAATTCAATGTAACCAGTAGGTGCATTTGTAATAATCGGAGGTCGAACACCATCATTAATTTTAATCATAAGATCAGTATCATATTCTCGATCCCAAAAAGGTATTCTACCTGTCATTAATTCCCACATAATCATACTAAAGCTATATATATCTGAAGCTTTAGTATGTTTATTATACGTTTTTCCTTAAAAATCTCTGGAGCAATATAAGGCAAAATCCCATAACACTCATCATCATTATCTGAACTTATAATTGTTGTACTGACTCCCAGATCACTTATTACAATATCATATTCATTTTCACAAAGAATATTTCCGCTATGAAAATCTCGATGAATAATATCTTGATTATGAATAAAATCAAGTCCTAATCCTATTTGCTTCAAAATGTTTAGTTTTTGATTCCATTTAAGATTATAAAAGTTTTCCGCTATATAACGCTTCAAATCATATTTATAATATTTCATGATTATTACAAAATCCTTTGTAACAAGGTTTCGAGTAATCCCATAATATCTATTTAAAAAAAATAAAGAATTGATAAATCCTTCATTTGAATCAGAAATATAAACTATAAAAAGCTAAAATTATAAAGTATATAAATTAATATAAAATAACGATTAGAGTATATGTTGTATATAATAATCACTACATTAATATTACCTCATTTAATTGCTTTTCAGTAATATTTTTAGAATTATTAAGTTGTTTTAAAGCAACTAACATATTAAAATCATTATACTCAAAAACTTCATTTTCATCATTCCAATTAGGTGGACCTTTATTCCATATAGCTTTAAAAACTATACTAAATCCTCCTTCACCAATAATTTCTATATTTTGAAATTGATAATAAGGTATAAATTTCATTCTACTAGATTCTTGAATAAAATTAATTTGTGTAATCTTAATAAATTCATCAACAATTGCCTTTCCACTTGGAATATATAATAATACAGATTGATAACAAATTATACAAATTTTATTATACTTTTTTAAAAATCATCTTTTTTTAAAACAATTATTACATATATTATAACTTTCATTTTCTGATTCAATCACAAATTTTTTTAATTGTGTAATTTTATTTAATACATTATTTTGATTAGAAGTTTGTGCAATAATTTTATTTTTAATGATTTTTTGATACCAATAATGTGCTTTTTCTAAATTCCTTTCTGTTCCTTTACCATTTTGATAACAATAAGCTAAATTAAACATTGCATTAATACCTTTATTTTCAGCAGCTTTTTGACACCAATAAAATGTTTTTTCTAAATTTATATCTGTTCCTTTACCATTTTTATAGTACCAAGCTAAATTATTCATTGCAACAACATTTTTATTTTCAGCAGCTTTTTGATACCAATAAAATGCTTTTTCTAAATTTATATCTGTTCCTTCACCATTTTTATAACATAAAGCTAAATTATTCATTGCAGTTATATCTCCATTTTCAGCAGCTTTTTGATACCAATAAAATGCTTTTTCTAAATTTATATCTGTTCCTTTACCATTTTTATAGCATAAAGCTAAATTAAACATTGCATCAACATTTTTATTTTCAGCAGCTTTTTGATACCAATAAAATGCTTTTTCTAAATTTATATCTGTTCCTTTACCATTTTTATAACATAAAGCTAAATTAAACATTGCATTAATACTTTCATTTTCAGCAGCTTTTTGATACCAATAAAATGTTTTTTCTAAATTTATATCGGTTCCTTCACCATTATAATAGCATGAAGCTAAATTAAACATTGCATTAATATTTCCGTTTTCTGCAGCTTTTTGATACCAATAAAATGCCTTTTCTAAATTTTTATCTGTTCCTTTACCATGGTAAAATAAATTACCAAATTCATTATGAGCACAAATATTTCCATTTTCTGCAGCTTTTTGCATCCAACAGAACGCTAAAGCATTATTGGTTTCAATTCCAAATCCTTTAGTATAACATCTACTTAAGTATACTTGTGCAAGTGGATAGCTGTCAGCTGTTTTTATGAAGTTTATAAATCCTTTGCCATTTTTGTCATCTAAGCTGAGCATATTGTAATAAGAAAAAATTCCAAGAAAAAAGACATTCTTTGATTCATTTTGATTTTCTTTAAGCCAGTTAAAATATCAGTAATTGATCGAGTTGAAAGGTTAATGCATTTATTTAGAAAATGCTTTGTTTCACTAAAATCTTTACCCATATCTTGTATTTTAATTAATTGTATGAATAATTCATTAATTAAAACAATAATATTATCAGTTGGAATAATCATTTCTGATATATCGTCATGTTTTGTTTCGGGTTCTTCCATGCTTGTATTTAAATTTAGAAGAATGGATATTATCGCTATGATAAAAAGTGAACACTCTTTTTTGGTTTACTATGATAGTTTTAAGGAGCCAAATTTTTTTGTTGTGTAATTGGTACTTTATCGGAATACAAAAATGCTTTGTTTGTATAAGGAAAAAATAACATTTCTATATAGAAGTGCAAAAATATTGTTTAAGTGGTACAAATTGTCCTTATGATCATCTGATTTATAGTTGTTTTTTTCTTAGTCGCACGGACATTTTTTTTTGATCTGTCCAGATTTATGTCCGGACATGTTTGGTGAATTTTTCCGGTCATCTCTTTTTTTAGGAATCATTAAGTGAAATTAAGGTTTTCCAATACAATCATTTAAATAATTGAATCATTTCACGAAATAACTGTACACAAATAATTAAGCAAATTGTTGCCTAAATCTTGCGATACTAGTAATTAGAACCGGCAATTATTACCAGTAAATTGGTTCTTATATTTTTTAATGGTTAATCGGGTAAACGGCTGATGCAGTTATTCATAAAATTTGTGAACAAATCTCTATAAATAGATAAGTGCATAATTTAAAAAATATATATTATAAAGGTTTTCATTAATTTATTGTATTTTATACACTTTCGGTACCAAATTATTCGCTCATTGAAATATTTATTTGGTTATTTGGCCGATTTAAATAAGTAAAAAATTTTTTTGATCATTTGTGAGTTAACAATTACGATTAATTAAAAAAAAATAATTTAACTGCGGTTGACCAGTTAATTATTTAATCGGTTACCAAATATTTAACTGATTAAAATAAAGTCTTAATTAGCCTTTACCAGACTTAGTTAACTGGCTAAGATTTTTAATGATGGTTCCAATCTCTATTAGATACGAAAGACTTGTATGGAATTAATCAATGGGAAACGACCGGATATCACTTTTTTTTTTTTTTTTTTTTTATTTCAGCAAGTAAATTTTCTTCTTCAAACTATGAATAAATCAATATATTATCGCATCCAACGTTGAATGTTTAACATGAACAACCGGAATAATTAATCTACAGAATTAAAATTTTTTTTTAAATAGATTTGTAGAATGTGTTGAATGATAAACTCCTAACTTAGGATGAAATTGAGTTTAGAGATTTAAAATGCATGTTTTAACGAGAATTAGTTCAGCAATGAAATATATTACTTATATGCTGGCTGGAAATTACTAACTACTATAAATTATATAGAACTGGAAGTACATAATGAAAAATTTCATATAAATAAACTCAAACAACTTCTGATCAAGGTCACGTCATCTATTCGATACAAGTATGATCATCTTTGTAGTTGGATTAAATTGTACAATCAAATCAAATTATTAATTTAAATCACCTATCGAACTCAACAACATGATATGAATTTGGAAAAATTAAAAATTTTCCAGCATTTAACATTAAATTGAACCTTCACCATGAGACATCGATAATTCTTATCGTTCTCACTAGATACATATTTGTGTGACGATGTGCTATGCGACGTTAACAATTTCGATCAATGGTGCCGTTGTCCTTTATTTGAATTAAGAAGTTATTTGTAATTCAGCCTAATTCTTGAAAATAGAAACTCCAAGAATTTGGAATAAATCCTTCCAAAAAAAAAAATTCTAATTACCAAAAAAAAAAAGAATAGAAGTATTTTAACATTTCCATATAAAAGTTTTCATTGGTAAATATGTTTTTAAAGCCGATCGTTAAAAAAAAATTTATTCGCAATATCACGTGATTTCGAGTCAAAAATTTTATTTTCAATATATTTATAAATCAAATGAACATAAGTAATTTTACATTTAATGGCATTACTAAAAATATATTTCAGCTAACATTTTATCAATCGGCTTGAAGTTCTTTTTTTCTTTACTCTTTTACCATTAAGAATTTCATAAATCTGTAAATCTAAATACTCGCTGGATTTGGAAAAACACCAAGAAAAGGATATTGGTGATTTCAATAAACATGATCAAATATTGACTCTATTTTATAAGATGTTATGTTTGCAGATGAAAACAATGAATCAAATTTGAATGCAAACATCAACAAACCCAGTTTTTATATCAGTGTCCGACCTGAGAGCTTTTCCATTCTTTTAAATATCATTCGCCTAAAAAACATTTGGTTTTATCTCCATCATAATATAAATAAGGTCTACCGATGAAAAAAAAGCAATTTTTAAAGAAAACTAATAAGCTTTTAGGAATTTTAGAATTTACGATGTATTCCGTCGTCTTTATAAATTACGAAATAACATATATATAATTATTATAAAGGTTTGTAAGATTTATTCTTTATCAAATTTCTTTAAATAAACATTGTCAAAGTACAAACGTGAAAAAAAAAAAGAATTCAAGTAAACATTGCGACAAAAAAAAAAAAAAAAAAAAAATGTTAAAAAAATTTTATTTTCTTCTTTTAATCAAAGAAAGTTTGATAGATTTGACCATTAACTCCATTTTGTGTTGTCGCCTTGAGTTCTATGTTACTAGCCAATTTAAAGGAAGTCCATCACACGTTTATCTTTTGAACCAATAAATTTTAAGTTTCCATCCTGGTTCTTCACAGGTTCTCGCTGAAGAATTGTAATAAATTCCAATATCCCAGTGCTTTGAAACGGGTGACTGGGTCGAACCCTAACTCTAAATGATTCAAACTAATCATTTAAAAAGAAATCCTTCGTCAGATTTCCGAATTTTGATACCATAAGTGTATCTTAAATATGTAAATCAATAATCCATCCATTTCTAACATATCTATTTCACTAAAGCCTAAACCATTGATTGCTGCGCCACGAGAATTGTTGACCTGGAATTTCTTTTGCAAATACACTACTAATCCACCAATCAAAAAATAGTATCGGCCTTCCTTATTTCAGGAAATTTATCAAGTCCAAGAGTATTTTCAATTTGTATACGTAAATTTCTTTTAACGACCGGGTCAAACATTGATTTGATTGTGTTGCAACCATTCAGCTCCTTCCATTGATTCTTTTTTTTTTTGTCACCATTCATATATTGTAATAACTAAAATATGGATCATCAAACCTTAAATGGTAATTTAAAAGTTGTCCTTAGAAATTCTCTTAATAAATTAAAAGCTTTTTTCCAAGTTAACTTTCCAAAAAATTAAAAAATTCTTTATCGACAAAATTACCTCCGCAAAATAAAAATAGTTTCATAATACAGTAAGAATGTTTTGGTTTTGAATTGACCATTTATTCAGATATATGTATATTATAATTCGTCTAGGAAAAAAAAAAGAGGAGGATAAACCATTTCGCCAGGCCATTCAGTATTTATAATATCTATCAGAAAAATACGCATAATTACATAAATATCAAATGTTTGAACGAGAATGATTTTTATTTAAAAAAAACTAGGCTATAATAAGGAAATTATGATTTACCGAATACTTGGTTTCAAAATCTTTTGAAAATGTCGTTAAAAATTTTTTTTTAAATCGCATTAATGTTATATGAATTCTATATTTGTGAATTTTTTTGTTTCATTTAGATTCCAAATGCCTTTAATGACGTTAAATAGCACAGATAAGAGGTGCAGAATCCATATGCGGTTAATTGATTTGACTTTGAAATACATCACATGATTTACAATAAAAAAAAGAATATAAAAAAGATTTTAAGCGGGAAGTGCGTTAATATGTGAAAATCCAGATGGATTAGATTATAAAAAATTCATTACAGTTTATTTGGAGAAGTTATTAAAGAAATAATACAAAAGCATTGATCTTGATAAATTAATTGTATTAACGATCATAAACCACTTAAATAATTGAAATTTTAGAATATATTCTTTTTTAATTAATTTTTTAATTTATAAAGGTTCCAATGCGATCGATTGCAAAAAAAAAAAATAAAATAAAATAAAAAATTTAATTCTAATTGAACAAATAAATTATCTTCTTTCGCATTACTTTTCTAATCCTTTTGGACTAACAATATAGATAATATTTAAAGTATAATTAATTAAACACTTCATAATATTTTACGTTCGGCTTGACGTAAAGATCGGCCACACGTAATAATCGCAAATTCTAAAAAGAAAGTAGTTGAAAATATATTCAAAGATATACATATATAATTATAAAGTAAAACGTCAATTTTTATTGTCCCATCTAACAAATACAAGATATTGTAATGTTTTTCGTCGAAATTATAAAAAAATATAGTTGATTAGATTAAAGAAATCATAATTCCTTTAAAATTGAAACCTAATTTCATTCAAATTATTCAGTTCAATACGCCACTAAAAAACCATTATGAAGTACAATTTGGTTAAAATTATCAGTATGTACCTTATTATTTTCGTCTTTTCCATCACAATAACAGCAAACGTGTTGTGTTCCATCATCCGAAAAGATGGAATGTGCCGGTTGAATTTGGAAAAGAATGATTAATCAAATGACGTCGAATAAAGCCAATTATCGTAAAAATTTTTACCGTGGAAAATTTTTGCTTATTAATACAGTTGTCAATAATTGCTTAGTATTGTTTATCGTAATATCGTTATCAATGAAAATCATATAAGACTCAAAAATCGTTCAAAATCGTAAACTCAAACTCTCTCCTCCATGTATTTGTCTTCACACAAGGCAACTAGAAAACTTGGAATCTCGTCAGATACCTTACGTCGTTGGCTAAAACAAGGAAGAATTACTGCTAAAACGTCTCCTTCTGGTATTCGCCTTTACGAAATTTTTCCAGAGTTGACTTCCCAAGATGTTGATTACACCACCGCCGCCGTCACCACCAACACCACCACCACCAAAAAAGGGTTCCTCTATGCGCGGGTCTCTAGTGTCAAGCAAAAAGAGGATCTTGAATGGCAGAAATAATTCCTCAGTTCCCGATACCCAACCTACGAACTCATCAGAGATATTGGATCAGGTGTCAACTTCAAGTGACCAGGAATTAAGACCTTATTGGAACAGACAAGTCGCGGAATGGTCTCTCGAAAATTGTGGTTACCCATCGTGACAGATTCTGCCGCTTCGCCTTTGACCTCATCCAGTACATACTCTCCCTCCATACTACAAAACTCGTGGATTTCTTCGACGATGCGACCTCCGATGAACATGAACTTTCCCAAGATATCCTTGCAATTAACACAGTCTTTATCTGTCAAATGCAAGGAAGAAGAGCCGCTATTAAACCAATTACTTTTTGGCTATTTTTCGCTTGCGCCACCGACGAGAACGCCAAGCTAGGAAAAAAGCGCAAAACAAAGATCAGGACAACATCAGCGCGCAACAAGCGACAACACTTGAATACCACTCTCAATCGTACACTGCTAATCAAGTGTATCCAAATCACCCTCAAAAGCAGCTATTAAAACGTTGGATAGGCTTGATGAGATATGATTATAATGCAGATGTTCGCTGAAATTGATACTGCTGTTTCTATACCAAGAATTCACATATTGGTCCATCACAACGAGGTTGGGTAAAACCTCAACCCATTGAAAATAAACTTAAACTTTATTCAGATATTCGTGTAGGAAAATACGTTAATGAACATGAGGACAAGAAACTTCAAAAATCATGTGTATGGGTGATCGCAAATTCGTACAAACTATTGTGAATATTGGAATGCTGCTTCAAGGTACACATGGAAAAGCACATACAAATATTATTGATGAGGCAATTGACGAAGCATTGACTGCTTTGTATGATTATTATTTTTGATTTTTTTTTGTTTTAAATTTTCTTTTATTTTTTGATTTTTTTTTTTTGATTTTTTAATTAATTTTAGGGATAAGATAATTAACCATAATATAGGATCAAACACGAATCAACGAGGTTCATATTTATCATTTCGATCTCAAAAAGATTTATGACAAACAATAAAAAATTCGTTCACAAAATTTTTCAAATCCATGTGGAACCGTTTTTATGTCACCTATCTTCACAATCCATCAATGCTTTCCACACATCGTCATAAGCCTGTTGTCATATTAGATCATAATAAACATGATTTATGGCCTCTTCATTTTGAAAATAAAGACGTAATAATAAGTGGCCTGTTCCTCACAAGATAACATCTGATTGTAAAATCACATATATTTGTAAAACTAATGAATGGAAGTTTTCATGGGTTTATGAGATGCAAAAACAGCTCCGCGAAACCCAAGTGCATGGTTCTGTTCATGCAGTCTCCATTGATCTTGGTGTTCGTACACCCTATACATGGTACTTTCCTACTAAAGATGTAGGTAAAATTGGCCAATATGACATCAGACGAATTATTCGTTTATGCAAATATATGGATAATCTTTACTCTATAAGGGACAAGCTGGCTGCCTCTAATTCAAAACTTAAAAATAAAAAGGCCTTGCGACTTGATAATGCAATTTCTCAGATGATACGAAAAATCAAACATCTGCAAAGTGAAATTCATAAAAAGAGTGTTACATTTTTTACTCGCGAATTTGATGCCATTAACTTTCCTTCTTTTTAGGTATCAAATATGGTAAATCGAAAAACAAGAAATATAACGCGAAAAACTGTTTGTAAAATGCTCTGTTGGGCTCACTATCAATTCCGCCAACGTCTGGTAGCTAAAGCTGAAGAATTAGGGGTCCATGTTATTATCCAAAATGAGGCCTATACTTCAAAAACTTGCAGCTGGTGTGGGAGTGTTCAAAAAATAGGAGGATCTGAGATGTACAAGTGCCGAAGTTGTGGAGCTGTAATGGATCAAGATGAAAATGGTGCTCGGGGAATTTTTCTCTGGGCTTTGCTTGATGGAGCCTTGATTCTCTCCGGAGATCATGCAGGAAATAATAGTAATACTTAGTATTACCTATTATTGATATATTACAACCCATCCGTGATAGAGGGTCATTAAAAGTTTAATTGTCATTATTGTAAGTTTTAATTTAAAATAATATTACGTACTATATATATTAACCCAAATATACCTTGCTAATACTTCGATTCTGGTGTGATTTCCGAAAATGAAAATGTAAATTTTCTCCTGGCGCCTGATGCTTAAATCCAATGATGGTATTAAAAAGCACTAGATATAGACCATTTTGGGTCTTCTGAAACAAATTTCCGAATAGTTAGAAGATAATGTGTGGTCTTCCGACCACTTTCTCGATATACAAAATTTCAAAATCTTTATTGAACCTTAAATTAATCTACGAGACCAGGAAACATATCGAAATCTAATATTGAATTCAAGCTTAAAATTGTACTGGGTTTAAATCCTGTTAAACATACCTCTTTGTCCAAATTTTAAGTTTCTAAGATAAAGATGCACACCATCTTTGTTAACACGCTGACCTTATTTTAATCTCAAATAATATATCGAAAAAGTATGCTATACTGCTTACCGTTGGGAGTACCCTCGAATATTGAGGAATGAAGTGATGAAATATTCGAGGGTACGACTCTATCAAGTCTAATATGCATATCAATTTTTTATGTTATCCTAGAATTAATTCTAGAACGGATTCATTAATGTAATCAAATTCTGTTAAGTCTCAACTCTTTGAGGTGAGATTTAATAGGTTGCAGAGCATCGAAGATGCAGAGCATATACCCAAGATATGTTTACAAAGTCTGCAGAATGAAGCGGAGTATGTACACAATATATGTTTACCTCTAAGTCGCACCTCTAAGTCTCATCTCTAAGTCGCACCTCTAAATCGCATCTCTAAGTCTCACCTCTAAGTCTAACCTCTAGGGCGAACATAATGTTCACAAAATCTGCGGAGTGAAGCAGGGCATGTACATGGTTCTACTACTAAGTCTCACCTCTAAGATTAACCTTTAGGCGAAAAAAATAAGTCTCACCTCTAAGTCTCACCTCTAAGACTAACCTCATATTGATCGAACATCTGGGCCTTATCCTGAAGTATACTCACATGCCGGATCTGATAATTGCTCTTATTACAATAGCTACATAGGCCATTATCAATCCCTGAAGGTTTATCTATCTTTGTAGGTCTACCACAAGC